TCTCGATCGGTACCAGTTATCCCATTTAATAAAGCCTGATCCACATTACAAGGAGCGGTTTCTTCTAATTATCAGAGACCTTTATTTTCACTATTTTATTGCAATAGTTGACTCCTGCCTCTAAAAGTAGCAGGCTACCCAGAGTATTTCCCAGTAGATGATGACTGATGACTGTGCTCTGAATTTTATCTGGATTGTTTCATGCTGCAGTTTTTTGCGCATTAAGATTACAGGCCTGACTCTGTGAAAGCTGTTGCAGCTCTACAGGCAGCTAGTGCCCTTTTTAGTTGGTTCTTACTTCAGCTGACTTAAAAAGAGAATTAATATAATTTTGCTTCCTAAGAAGACATAGTTTTTAATTTACTTTGCTGGCATCTGAAGAAAAATGACATTAAGCCAAAGAGTGGTAACAGGAAGAGGGAAACTCAACTTTTATCTCATGTTAAGGATGGGAACATACCCACTTAAGAAGACAGACTAAGTGGTTTTAACCTTACTTTGCTCTCCTGGTCTTGTAGAGGCTTGGTTCAGGCTTATAAAATTATCCTGCAGGGACAGAACTGTATTTACAGACTTTCATTTTTCATCAACAAAACTTTCACATCCTCTTCTGTCATTCATGCCAGCAAGAGCCTGCATGATTTCCAGCAGTCTAGCTACTATAACACGTCTCAGCGTAAGCTGAAAATCCACCCAAGCAGCAAATTACTGATCTCCATAATCCTGCAGCAAGACTGCTACTGGAACTTCAGTTAGTTTGTTTAAAGTTAGCTTGGCTAGATCTACACTATACTGCAGTGACTGTGATGTATTATACCTGAAGTGTTCACTGTGGGAGAAAATAACAGCTGGCTAACAGTAACATGCTTGGTCACATTTTATACAATAAAATTCAACAGGATATTTTGAAAGGCTGTTGTAAATAGAGCAGCACCCCTGATTTGTTGAGACAGGACAGTGACAGGAGATAGGGCAAAGTAAACAACAAATGAAACAATCGGAGTGAGCATTGCCAGAATAAAACATTTCCCTAGCCAATTAGTAGGAAGTTCAGTCTTATATACTCAGAGCCTGGGAGATGGGTCTCAGTTAATTCAGCTAAAAGTTTCCATATGAGAAAAACATACAGATTTTAGCAGAAATTAAATTGAGATAGAATTTTATGGAAATTATTTTGCACAGCTGAAAGAAAAAAAATGCAGAGATAACAAAATTACATCATTCCTGTAGACATTCTACGGCAGCTGTGATGACTCTCTGCATCAGAGACCATCCATTCTACAGATTTTCCAAACCAGTTAGAGAGCTGTACTGAGTCTTGTATCAGTTCTGGATAACTCTGCAAGTTGGTTTAAGCTAAGGACTTCCATTCCCTATTCAGTTCTGTCAAATTTTGTCAAAATGACTGTTTGTTTACAAATGTCTACAAAACCAGATGGAGAAATTCCAGGTGATCATTATTTGCAACAACTTCTGTAGTCCTTTTTCTGGGTCTCTGAATCCAAGACCAAACAAAGTCAGAAGAAAGTGCCACTGCATTTACCGATTTTATTACAGGAGCTCTAGGAGGCACATCAGTACCATTTGAAGCTTCTGGAAAATTAAAGGTTTAAGGGCACACCAGGAATGAAAAGCTGCTTTTTGAGATACACAATGCTGAACTGCCACAACCTTAAGTCTTCTGCCAGTAGTGGTAAAACCCTGATTTCTGGATAAGCATTGCAGCACTGAAATGGTTAGCATTAATAGCTACAGCTAAAGCCTGTGGCCAGCAATACCAGTTTCCTCTTGCAAAAGACATAACCATGGTAACTCTGCGGTACAAGGTGGCTAATGCTAAACTTTTCATTGGTGGCTTTTGTACTACTGAGTATAAAAATTCAGTCTGTTTTGAAAGTTTTGATGTGTTCTCTGATACACATCGATAATCCAAGTAGCAAGTGTTACATACTGATGCCTAGATAACTGTATACAGTTATCTGCTTCTACAGAAGAACCACCAGAAGAGAAAATCTTTCAAGATCAAAATGGAATCTTTGCTATGGCTTCGCATTCACCTTATGACAAATTTAAATACAGGAATAGATGATGAATGATTTGACTTAGAACCATTTTGGTTTTCTGTTTAAGTAGAATACAATTCAGGTTACCCAAGGCCTTTCTTCCTCCTTGTTTTCTTCAGTGGTGATAACCAGCAAATGATACAGCCTTGCATGCCCAGAAAGCATCATGTGGCAATACTTTTGTTATATGATGGGATGGAAAGAATTTCTGTTTAGTTATTACAGATGTCAGAACTTTGTTCAAAGCCTCTGAAGTCAGATGCAAAGTGCAGTCAGTTTGCATTTGTAATTTTTCATGGGAAAATGAGAACTCTCCATAAACCTAGAACTATACAAGCCTCTAGGATCTGATCTTAAAGGACATAATCAGCAGAATTTTCTGCATCTGCAATGCAATGTTTCTGTGGCATTTCTGTCAGCAAGAATAGGTTGAGTAGGGGATTGAGAAAAGTTATTTTACTACTAATTCCATTCTGCATGCGCATCTGTGCAGAGGTAAAGTCCTCTTATTGCACTGCTTTTTTCTCATTGTTACTAGTTCCTGGGTCCTTTTTAGGAGCTCTTCTGTGTTTTCTTCTTTTCATCTATGGAATTTCTTACTAGCTGTTATTTTTAAGTGAGACTTTGGTTTCTCACATGCCTCATGGAAATATAGGCAAATGTGAATAACATCTACTGGAAAAATCTCCATACCTCAGCAGGCCCAGAGGATTTAATAATCGGCATGAGATTTTCTTCCTCTCAATTACTGACTCTCTTGTTTTAAAAAAATAGTACTAATACTAAACAAACAATGAGAAAACCCCAGTCACTTCTCTTTCTCAGTGTTTATTTTTGGATGTCTTCCAGAATCGTCTTTTGACTGTGGTTGCTGACATCCTGGGCTAAGGCAGCATTTACTAGCCTCAATATTACTAGAGGGACTTTGGGGATTTTTTTTTTTTTTTTAAAGGGGAGGAGCCAGTATTCTGGTTTTGTTGTTTTGAGTTTTTTTTTTTAAAAAACAGAAAAAGCAGCAGCACGCAAATCGCAAATTAAGGACTGATTCACTGACCCAACATCTGTCTAGAAACGTGTCAGCCATGTGTTATGGTGAGATGGAGAAAAACCTTCTGGTAGAGACTTTAAAATAAGAAAAAATTAAAAAGTGCCGTCCTTTCCTATAAGAAATCTTATAGTTTAGCCCCTTCAAATTATTGCGCATGAGTGGAGTGTAACACTCTCCTCAAACTTCAGGTTGGCTGAACTTTTCAAAATAAACAAATTCCTGCTTCATTTCCATTTGCTGATACACTTAGGAGTAGAAAGCTAGCTGAAGATACGGCCAATTGCAGGTTTATTCAGCCTGTAAGTCATGGCGTATTGGACCAACAGACTACAGCTCTTGTTCCTTCCCCCACCTACCATCAGGACCTGGTGAGAAGTAAGCACTTTCACGCTCCCTGGCCAGCAAGATTTTGTAATTCATTTCTGATCCCAATTACATAGAGCATAGCGTTTTTTCCATTCAACAAAAAGAAAATGGGATGGTTTGGGTGAAATGTAAAGCCTTGCATCAGCCTCACATGGACCACTGGTCCCTGACAGCTCTTCACACAACATCTGCTTTGCTCATCAGCTGGCTCAGGGCCAGCAGTGGCTGCTGCCGGTTAGAAAGGGGAAGACTTTTAAGCAGGAGTGGGAGTAGGAGAAAATCAAGTGCTGTCCTTGGAATAACCGAAAAAAATATTTTAAACCAAAATTAGCAGTAGGTGAAGAAAGGAAATCCTGGCTGATCATCTGGGTCAGCTAGAGTAAGATTCAACAAACAAGTTAAATCAAGAGTTTAATGAATTTATTTAATGAAAAGAAGGTTCAATGTCATAAAAGTCAAGGTGACACATTCCGTAAGAGGAGTAAAAGATGGAAGAGCAGGAAAAAGAACGTGCGATGTCTTCAAACCAATCTTGGCAGCATTTCTTTTTGGAGTTTGAGATTTCTGGAAGCAAACTATAAATACTCTGAAAAACAAAGGAACTACAGGAGAGAAAATCTCCATCTTAAAGCTCTGGCACACTCTACAGAGAGCCTTACACTTTGTGGGTATTCTAAGAACTGGTGAGGTGGCTGAAGGCTACTACATTCAGGATCAAAAAAACCCAAACTTACTTTACTTACTCCCTAAGTAAAACAGCGGACCTCACTTTTTTCCATTCATTGGCTTTTATTGACTTTACTGTATTCACTCTTCAACTACTCTGCAAGAAGACATCGTTAGTCCATAATAAGAGTTCTCCCTACGGCAATAGCATCAGACAGGAAAAGAGAACTTCTGTGAGAAGTAGCATGGACAGGAAATATGTACAAGAGTTCAATGAGCAGATTCACATTGTTTTAAATTAGGAGTGATTCAAGTTATATGACTTGTGGATGACTTTTCTGAATCGACACCATGTGTTTTTCAATGCCTGCTTTTAAGCACTTAACGTGTTTCTTAATTTATTACTTATGAGCTGAGTTAATAGAATGTAAAAAATAGCCTTTTAGACAATGATAAAACCCAATTTGTGTTCTCTGAAGAAAATAACATAGATACCAGCTAAGCTGAAGTACAGGAACTTAATTGCAATCTGAGCAGGCACTGAGATAGACCAGTAAGTGTGCAGAGAACTTTAATGCTGACAGATACTTGGTACAGGAATCGGCAACAGCACTTCTAGAGTTAAATACATATATTCTGCTTCTGCATCTGGGATTAAACTCTTCTTGACAATTTCCTTTGGCTTACATTACTGAACTAGATAAGATAAAATTAAAGTCCAAGCAAACATAAGCAGTCTTTTTAAAAAAGAGATGGTTTTATATGGTAGAGATAATGACTGCCAGCTAATAAAAGTTTAAAGCATTAGCATAGCTGGAAACAGTATTACATGAAGTGATCCCAATACTGCAACTTACCTCTTCTCTGTGATTCTTTATTGGCATACAGAGAATACTCTGAGTCTTATACCCTGTGATCTGGTCAACTTCGGCATTGAATCTTGGATCCTGATACAAGAAAAAAATACAATTATTTGACTACTTGCCTAAAGACCAGTTCTTTTTCTTCCCTGGTTTAAAGGTTAAGAAAAGTACAATATTTGACTTAACTGTTACCCAGGACAACAAAGGTTCCATTACTAGCTAATAATTATATAAAGTTGTTACTATCAGTGTGTTAAAACAACAACAAAATAGCATTTATGTGGAACATGAGCACCTGTGGATAAATACAACTGCCAGAAAGAACAAAAAAACCCCAAACGCTAGGAGAAGCCTTTCTCGAGCCTAGACCGTCATTATAATAAATGTACACATGGACTAACCATCCCTAGTATAGCTTTTATCATCAAGAAGAAATTACAGAAATATACTGAAAGACATGTGGCCACAGAGGAACAAAGTTTCATGTATGTGGTTAGTGTTTTTGCTTTTACCAGAGGTTGCTTGGTTCATTTTTTCAGCTGAATATTGCTATAAAACTCTGATTTTTTATTTTTTTTTTAAATCTTACTAAAATAAATCAGACTATTTTAAAGGCTGCTGTTCTTTCTCTAGTAATTGATTTCAAGTTGAGCATGATGGACCCAATTCAAGAATGAACTTTTAAACTATAAGGACACGGAATGTCCCGCTGGAAACATGTACTTAGCAAATGTTTAGACAGTTTCTGAGGCAGCAAACAAGTGTTTGTTGAAAATAAAGCCATATGAAATCATACAGCTCTTTTTTGCTTCTGAAAAAATCTACTCAGTAATGTTCCCTAATTCTGTAAACATGCTTATATTAACTTCAATCAGAAGCGGTAATTTTCAGTTCTGTATGCCTTTATTAATTAGTTAATTAATCAATTAAGTCATTAAAATTTCCATCATCCCTAAATTCAACACATAAAATCAGCATATCCAAGGAGCCTGGAATGAAGAGATGTTAAGCTGAGATGTAAGAGATGTCCTCTCCCAGTGCTGGATTCTCTTCCTTTTTTCATCTGGCCTTGTATTAAATAACCTGAATTGCAGACTATCATTTCATTTGGGAGACCTCGATACACTTCAAACCCTCATCCCATTCTTGTTCATTCAGCTCCTACTCTTTGTGCTTCAGGTATGATAAAATTCTCCAAAGTATTTTTAGTTGCAAGACTTCAGTTTTGCAGCCAGTTCTACTCACCATTTCATTCATTTTGGTGCAGAAGTATCTTATGTCCTATATAAGCAGAAATGTAAACACTTAAGCGTCCAAAGCTAGACATTCAAATACTGGTGTGCACATAGCTGGTTGAGGGTAATATCTGACTGCTAATGTCAAACTTAAATAATTTATTTTGATGTTAGCATTCCTGTAGCATTAGTCATAGCTACACGTTTCTGTATATGCATGTATCTATAATACATGTATTATAACCAAAAACACAGTGTCAGGTTTGCACCTTGACTGGTTGAAGTCGATTTAGCTCCAAATACATACACTAAAATGGCGATATTACGACAGCTGATAATTTGGCTTTTTCTTTTCTCAAGAATTGTTCAAGATAAATTTTGTTGGCTTACCTCATACGCATTCTTGATGTTCAGAGGCTGGCCTATAGCTGCTACGTGACCCACAATGCCCTTGTTCCACTCCAGGCGAATGCAGTTGTTGGAAGCTTCTTCCAGGGTGGAGCCTTCTGCCACGTCAAACAGCCTGCTTACAAGAAACTTCTCATTAGAGCTATCCTCACAGACCAAGAACAGGGAATAGCGATCAGCTGCTATAAGCTCATGGATATGTAGGAAAATTTTATGGCAAAGTGCTGTGACATCTAAGTGACTAGAAATATCTTTCACAAGTTCTAATAGTCTTGAGCACTGATCCCCTGCACTGGCCTCAATCCTTGGAGATGGCAGAGGCATCTGTTCCTTCTTTTCAGAGCCGGAGAGGAAGCTCACTGCTCCTACTGAGTCCTTGACAAAAATAGGCCTTAAGGGTCTGTCAAATTCAGAAGCAGAGATTTTCCTCGCTGGCGTCCCAGAGTTGGTGGTCTCAGCGCAGGCAGGCTGGTGACAAGCACAGGATTCACTCTGGGACTTTGTTCCCTCCTTGCAGACTGGGATGGTATGAACTCTCTCAGCAAACCATGCATTAACCATTTCTCTGTAAAACAAAAATAAAAGTACAGTGAATGATGTCAGTTAAAAATCCTCAGGAACTAATACATATTTGAAGAGGACACTGCAAAGAGGATAACTTTAAACCTTTTCATACAGTGGACGTGAGTGCACCTTTAGTGCTCCTCTGTATCAATATTCTTCAGTTTTACGCAGCACTTAGCCTAGATTAAGCAGTAATGTTTTTTGCCCCATAAAAAGAAAGCTATTTCTGCCTAAAGGAAATAGGGCAGAGGAAGAGTGCTTACGCTGTGGCTTTCAGAATATGGAAGATCAGAAGTTTACACGGTAATTTTGTTGCTTGAAAAGTTCTGGTCCTTCCTATTCCTATTGCATTTCTGTATAAGATGTATATATGTTCACATGAAGACAAAACTTTCTGTTTTAATTCTGTTTTTCTAGACCATTTTTAACTTGTAAAAAGATAAATTTGAACTTTAATTCTGTCAAATCACCTGCAGCACCTCCTATTTTTATGTTGCCTATACACCATTTTTAAGTTAACTTCCCCTGCTCTCTGAGTTAATGAAAAATAGTTTTGACTCAACGCACAAAAGTTTTGCTTAAAAACTGTCATGAAGAAACATGACTATTTCTAATTCAGCCCCCTTCAAAATAATGAAAAGACAGACTGTTTTCATGCATCTCTCCTATTTCCTTTCCGTGCAGATGAAACTCATTGCCTAACTCAACCCAAAATACTGAATACCCCCAAAATTGTATTTTTGAAGAGTTTACCATTAATTAAGAAATGTCACGCATCTCTAGTAGTTAACTATTTCTCACATTAACTTAGCACTAGAATGCCAACCCTAATAATGTCCTCACTAAATACAGCATATCCTGAATTATCCATAAGCACACATATCATCAATAACACGAGTATACTTTTTCTTATCACTATAATATTTTCTTGTCCAAAATCTGTTAGTTTGGGTTTTTTTTTTAAATACAGGGCTTTTTATTTCATTCACTCGGTGTCGAGGATTCCTCATAGCACATGATCTACTCTCAGAAGAAATGTTTTTTTTTTCTGAATTACATAATGTATGGACCTATGAACAGCAAAAATCCTATTTAAAAGTCTGATCTTTTGGAAACCTTTCATGGTGGTCATGTTTTAAATTTGGGATATTTTTTATTTGCTCAGCAGACCACAGGAATTTCAAGAGTGAAGCTGAATGAAACCATGGAAATTAGTCAGGTTAGTCAGCCGCTGATCGGTTACATGCATCCGTATATGTTAAATATGAAAAGCACTGTGCATAGCCTTTTTTTCCTTACAGAACAGCTTCATCTATGTTGTAGAACGCAATACTGCAAGTGTAATTAACCATTAATTCAAAGTAAAGTAATTGATTAAAATCTAAAGTCCACCAATATTATTTTTATTAGCAAGCAATCCACAACAGGAAACTTATTTGTCTTTTATTAGGAAGGTTTGAAAGAGTTCTTCAGATTTTGCAATCACATATCATTTGGAGACCTCAACTGTAGGCAAACATGCTGTGAAAAACTGAACGGATTTAGGAAATAGTGTGACTGTAAAGGGAGCACCTGGGCAAAAGAAAGTCATTATGTTACTGTACCCATTCCACTGCAGTGCAAGCTACCTGGTAATTTTTTTCCCCTCAGAAAACTGTGTTTCACTGAGGTAAATATCACTCAATGCAGCACTGTAAAACCAAATTCTTTTCTTATTCACACCAGTGCAACTCCAAATAAATGGATGCTAGACTATTCTTTATTTTGGCTTCTGTCTGTGTACTGTGGTCCTAATCATGTAAGACTTTACATACATGGTTAATATCATTTATAGCCCCAGTGATCCTCAAGGCCGAATGGTCGGTGTGGTCACACAGGACATCTGTGAATCTTCTGACGATGAGAGTCTAAAACCACTGAATGAAAAGCTGGACACAATTAAGGCGGTGGGAGTTTTGCCTCTGAGTTCCACCGAGTTAGGATTTCATTCCGTGTTTTTAGATTTTCCATGAAGCTCCTGGAACAGTGCTTGCTGTACCAACAATATATCTCAATCAACATCTATTATAAATTTCCCAGCTATGTAAAGCTAGTCCAATTACTGGAACCATGGTGCCAGAGAACACAATGAAATTCCATTGTTATTCTGAAAGAGTTTTGGTTCATTGCTTAGCTACTTATTTTTAAAGGAAGTAAGCTCTGCTTTTTAAGTATCTTAATAAAAGCTACCAATGATCCTTCTTGATCACAACAGTGATACCTATTTTTTTTGTGAAGTTACCTTAGCCAAATGTTCCTTGCAGTGAAGAAGCATAAAGACCGTTTAATGTATTATTAGAACTTTGACCTTAACAATATTACTTTATAGTACTTAAGCAGGATAAATATTAAATGTGGGAGCCATGACCATGTATTACTGAAACTCATAATATAATTTGCGTAGGGCATTATCATATTTGCAAAAGCTGTTGCAATGAGAGTCAAAATAAGAAGCTAGCATTTGATAACATTTGGAATTTTTATTTATTAAACTGAATGAGAAAACAGAATGAAAATGACCAAAAGTATCCTTAAGAAAAATAAAGAGCTTAAAATGCAAAAATTTGTAAGTAAACATAGTACAACCTCTAAAATCAGCGTTGATAATTCTTGTCATCATATGTGTTATGTTACATGTGGGTTTTGTTTTACTCTTAATATCCTCAAGAAAAGAAATTACCAGGAAATTTTAGCTTTTTCTAAGCAAAATTTAGCATCTAGCGCTAAGGCTGCAGAAAAGAACCTGAAAATGTGAGCTGGGTGCATTTAGAGCCTCAGGCCCAAGAAGGTAGATATAGAATAATCAATAGTCTTAAAAGAAGGCTTGTGACTTGACCCGGTTTCATGATTGTATCTGCTGACTTGATTTTTGAACATCGAGGACTGGCATTAATGTAAAATAAGATTTAAAAGTAACTGTAATAACCTAGTATCAGATGGAGAGCATTCTTAAAGTAGGAGTGATTAGGTGTAGGAAGCCGTGTACTTTGTCTAGGCATGTTTGAAAATGCAGAGGTGAACCTGTACTATTGCTGAGTGACAGCAATTTGTAGAGCAATCTGATTTCACTGCTTATTTACACATGAGGAAAGGAGAATATCAAATGCTATCATTTCATCTAGCTCTGTTTTACGCTGAATTTACATATGTGGATGTGTTGATATAAGATACAAGGCAGAGAAAGACTCAGGTGCCCTTTGTGGACAAAGCAAAAGCTAAAGCAGAAATTTGGTTTATCAGTTGAAACCTGCCATTTTATTTAATTCTGGAGTGTTGTGTAATGATGCGCCCTGGCCTTAATGGCATACTAATAGTAATCAGTCAGAACGATGTATTCTGAATTCTAATACCAGTTCTCAAACTGTGGCCATGAGATAATTTAGTTTTTACCTTCTTGCCTTTTTACTATGCAAAATAAGCATTCCCTTCTCTGTCTTATAGAGGTTATTGAGGGATGTGGAACATAACTGTAAAATCTTTCACATGAAAGTAATCACATTTCTTTAATAAGAACTGACTGCTTGTTAGGTATCTGCACTATTTATGAAGCACTTTGACACTGAACAGAACTGTATGTGGAGCTGCATAATTATGAGTAAGATCTGCCCGTCCCCTTTTAAGGTCTCTTAGATGATGGTCCAATAACTTGCCAACATAGCATGCGATTCTCAAAAAGCTCTGTAGGTTAACAACAACAACAAATCCTGAACTCTACTGTTTAAAGCATGGTTTTCAACTTCAAATCATTTAGGCATTTTTATTGGGGCAACAGGAAAGCCATTCAAATTCAGCTGGAATAAGAAGAGTGTTCTCTGACCTTTACTGAATGCCTCTTCTAACAAGGAAACTATTTAGCTCCTTTTACTCACAGTTATACACATGGGTGGAAGAACTAGCACTTCACATGAACTGACAAATTCTAACTCTATTTAAAATCTATCAGATAAAGTCTTGACATGCATTTGCTTGTTGACAATCCTATTTAACAATGCATGACAAGAAGAGTATTATTACTAACACAACTACTTTCTCAGCACAGAATTAGCTCAACAGATACCCAACAGCAGACACATTCTGAACCACAAGTGAGGTTACTGGAAATTAGTAACAAGTGCTATGTATGATTAAGAGGTCGTTTTGAAAGGACTACAGGAAGAAACAAACACTTGTGACTACTCTATTCGTATGAATAGTCTTCCGTAAGCATTGGCATTGTCAAGAGCTGATTGTAAGGCAAGACCCTTGCTGTAGAAGTAAGTTTAGAAGTTGCAGGAGTGTACTAAACAGGAGCAGATACCGATCCGTAGTGATCTATGCAGACAGTTACAACCAATGCAATGTCTCCATCCCAGCACAGCAATCACTGCACGTTGAGGAGTTACAGGCATCAGCATCCATTCCTCATGAGCTGCATGCATCCCTTACTGCAGTATGATCCTTTACTGCAGCATAAGCCTCCACTTGAGAAAGCTAGAATTTATCCCAGAGTTCATAAGCAGGGACAGCTGAATATGAAGTAACCGTTTTTAGTCACTATCAGCCAAATCCAGTCCTTCCTCTATAAAACACAATTTCAAAGGCGTGTGACAATAGTGACTGCTGAATTTGGCTGGTGACCTCATCAGCAGATAACAAAATTGGAGAGGAATTTTGAAGCAACAGGGATGAGAAGGGGATGAAAATACAATAGCAGGTAAAACATTTGAAGCAAAAAAAATGCTTGTGTGATCCTCCCCTCTATAATCACTTGTATACAAGTACACATTATCTGCATTACGGGGGAACTCGGGAACTTCAGAGGAATTAAGACTCTTTGGCCCTGATTTGTTAAACACTGTACAGAAAGTAGACCTGTCCCTAAAGTGAGAAGTTTTCAGTATGAATAGGCAACAAAACCAGAAAATCACTGGATGAGAAAACACAGGCACAAGGAAGCGACATGGCTTCAGCCAGGTCATGTAGCAGGGCACAAGTAGGCCTGAAGACAACCTCGGGTCTAAGACCTGAAGAGAACCTTGCTTTATTTCCTGTGCCGTTATGTATCAAACCATGCTGACCTGACGCTAATTACTATTCTCCTCATACACTGGGAATATTAAATAATTTATTGTACCCATCTTTGCTTCATTGTGATTATCTTCAAAATACACAGCATACTTCTCAAAAAAAAAAAAAAAAGTGAAGATGTTTAAAGAGTAACAGCCAGATTATAATTGTCTTGCTCACACATGTAACAATGCTACATATGTAAGACCATACCAATGTGACCATTCAGCAAGTATTTGGTATCTTTGGATAAAATGTACAAAAACAGAGCACAAAAGTAATACTGAGATGCACCAAAGATAGTATACTGCAGCTTTCTTGCCTTGCACAAAGAATGCATAATAATTTCTGTACCATGAAAGTACTGACTGATGAGTAGCTTTCAGTGAAACAAGTAATTCCCCATTTCCTCTGCTGCCTATAATCTTTCATATATACAATGTGCAATGTTTCGGTAGTTGTGTGGACTGTTTTTCTAATTTTTCATTCAAACCAGCAGTTACTGATAACACACTTAAGGAGAGGGATTCAATCCAAACTTGCCTACTAGAGAATGCCAGCTTTCAAGTATCTGAATTCCTGTGGCCTAATCCTGCTAGTGTTGAAATCAACAATATTTCAAGCCAAGCTTCCTATTATCTCAATTGCTTTCCTTAAAATAACCACTAGATGTCTTCAAATTTCTTTCCTGCATTTCGACATAATTTAGGCATAGAAATAATTTAAAGCATTAGCAACAACTTGAAAACTATTCAGTTTTAACAAATGAGGTTGAAAGTCAGTCACTTGGATATTATACTTGCCTCCCCATTTTCTTTCCAGTACTTGCTATTTCACAATCATGTTCTAAGCGTTTTTGTCCCCTTTCTGGGCATGGAAAGATTTAAATAAACTGTAAAAGGCCTCATTAGATGGAAACAGTAAACTGACTGTAAAAGAAGGGTATTCTAACTATTGACAAAGACAATAGCTGTTTTTCCTTAAACCCTTTCCAATTATAGTTACTAGAGATGCTATTTCTAACAGTGGTAGGCAAACAGTTTTTGAAGATGAAGTACGACTTAAAGTCGGTGCCAATTTTTTGACACAACTCAGTCAAATATATATTAGCATACATTTAACTTTAAACATGTGGCCCGACTGACTTCTGTTTGAATACAGATCTAAATTAAGAATGCTCATTCTAGATTCAAACCGTGCTCGTGAAAGAGTGAAATAACAACTTTTTAGAACTATGAAATAATGTAAATCTTGTCTGAATGTTCATATTATTTTTTTAAAATAGGAGGCAGAGGTTGCTTTATTATTTGAAGCAGAAGTATTCAAAATGGAGGACTAACACTAACAGGCTATTCTTGGCTATTTTCAAGTTTTCTTTAACAACCAAACTGCAAGCTTAACTTTTCACAAGAAAGCTTTCCTCCATAGAAAGGACTTCCTATTCACACTATAAAGAAAGACAGAATAAATCCTCAAGGATTGAAGGTCCAATTCTAAAACATGACCTTTATTTCTCCTCCAAATGTTTACTTGTTCCAAGCTCAAAAAAAAAAAAAAAAATAACTATGTACCTAATGATTTTGTTGTGGAAAGCAATAGGACAATACCTGTGACTTTGGTGAAAGGTGGATTAAAAGTTCACACCTGCCTGGAGAGCTCACTAGGCACCACTTCAGTTCCACTTAAATTCCTAAAATAGGGGTTAAGTAGGACTTAAGTGGTGCAGAGGCTTTGGGATGGCTCACTGTGCTGGGGTGAGTTCACCATAACGCACAAATAAATGGGAAAATATATATCTTCTACTAAGCAAATATATTTTGTGGCTATATTTTCAGTGCCAGACCTAATGTGAAATTACAACCATTGAGTTATTCACAAGGGCCATTTGGGTCGGACTTCTTTTCTGGCACTTCGTAAATAGCTCCTTTTGTATTAAATGCATTTTTTTTTTCTTCAAGTAAATCATATAAATTAGAAAGCATTCCATGTAAATTTACATATGTTTCTTTGCCAGTAAGGAAGAGACAGACTTGTATCCTGGGGTTTTATTAATTATATTTATTCATGACAAAAGCAAAATGCTTCCTCTTTCATGGTGAAAATGAAAACAGGTGGTAGCATATTATTTCAAGTCAAGAATGTATTCTCTAAAATCACTTTGTTTGTGATTCTTGATCTGAGCCATATATTCCCACACAATTCAGCTTTAATCTAGCATTCAAATAAGCATGAACATAGGCTATGATGTACTTTATTTGATCTGAAGACATCATAGGTGATGCATCATGAATTTTATCCTTGTGCAGAGAGCCAGAACAATGTCTACACACTATGGAAGTCTCACTTCAGCTTCAAAATTAGACTGATTGGTATTTTTACTTTATATATGTAGTCTTTGTCCTAATCCTGTACAAAGACATGAATTTCCTCCTCACGTGATGATTCTTCAACAAATGCCCAACACAAAACTTTCACGAACTTTTACAATTTCAAAATAAAAGAAAGTTGTCTAACTTTCTTGTCTCCCACAGAGGCAATGTATGCCTCAGCTCCACTTTTCTTCCCAGTTGCCAGAAATTTGACCCTGTTCTCTAAAGTCTTCCTAGTAAGAGCACAAAAATGGAAATGAGATTTCAAATGCTTATTCGCATTATTGGAAGTACCGTAATATGATAATAAAGTTACCCTGAAAGAAAAGAAGGCAAAAAGAGATGTTAACTGTTGAAGTAGTTCACCCCATCTTATTTTCTACCTGTCCTCTAAGACTTACCAGTTGTATTTTATGTGTTGTGCACACCTGTTTGTTTCTTTATTACCTAGGGCAAATGGTATGTAGTAAAAGCACATTCTCCTTGTAGCTGCTCAGTACTATCTGCTGACTAGCTTATCTTCACACCAAAGATTCTGCGTAGGAGTTCGGGTTATAGCTTTGGGGGAATTAAAGATGTAAATTGCTACTAAGTGATTTCTTATCATTTCTCAAATGACAGTTTCTTCAGTCTACAGTAATTGCTGTTTTAGACATTGTTTCCAAAATACTCCGGCACACACCCAGCTTTATTTCCAAGAATAAATGCCAAAAATACTTAATCACATTTACAACTTCATGAATGTGGGTAACATTCCTTACCTTCCTGAGTGCTTTTTGAATCAGGAGTTTAAAATATTTTGAGATGATCGTAATACTTTGCAATTATCAAGAAAGACATAAAGATATGGATACATTATTAGTAAGTGGGACAACTACAGACATCATTAGACCAACAAGAAAACTTTCCAAGATTTCATAGAAATTGATTTTTTTTCCTGTACTTCATCCTCAGAAAAGCTCTGTAAACATCTAATAAAACCAAGTGGGAGAAAATACTCTGATCCCTGCATTTAACACCACTACTTCCTGTGGTTTTCAAGCCATGGTCCAAAGAATTAGTGGGTCTGCAGTCCTCTTGTAAATGCTTCACATAGGGTAACTTAGAAAAGCAAGTCCGCTTTCAGCATATTTCAACAATTTGCATAGGATTCTGTGCCTCCACTGGAAAACTGTTCGGGGTCCTTCAATCACAGAAGTTTAAAACCCACTGCCTACTTACCAAGGTCATGTTAGGGATGAATATGGCTCGTACCTGTATGTTTTTAGGATTATTATTTTTTTGTATGTCAGTAATATCTTTTTAAGAAAAAACACAGGCCAAAGCACATTTCAGTGCAGAAAATCTTCAATGGCTCTATCTTTGAAAATCTGAATTTTCATACATTTGCTCCAAAAATTAATTTCCTTTCAATTAGAAAAAATTAAGCACACATATATTATCAAACAAAGCAATGACATAATGCATATGACGTATAATATTTATGAGATTAAACATCAAATAGCCAGCTCAAAATGAAAGACATTTTTAAAAGCCCTCTAGACACAGAGATTAGAAGGCAAATGCCCTAAGGAATTTAGTACTGCAGGCAGCACATTACAAACCGATTGTCCACCAGCCATCAAGAAGAAAAAAAACCACCACAACTGTACTTGAGTTTTTTCGAAGTAATAAATGTAATTGATATATTCAAGCTGTGCCATCTCTGAATTCCAGCAAAGTACAGTTTCTCAGTAAATGCCACTTCTGGAATCCTCAGTGAAGCGCTATTAAGTACCATGCTGTTAAGGACATTTATTTTTCCAAATACAACCCCACCTTAATTCATTTGTAAATATTTCCCAACCCTGCTAATAAGCCAAGTTGTATTTATAACAAAATAAATTTATTTCCAGTGAAAGGCATTCAAGACTGGGGTTAATAATTTGTATCTGTCAAGCCATACATTTAGGAAACCAGACAAAAACTGCCTGGAAAAATGCAGTTGCCTCTAACTGAGAGGAGAATTTTTACTTTGGCTGTTTTGGCAGTCTGCTGCTTCTGATCGCAAAGAGCACTAAGAGAGAATCACTCCCGTGCTTTTAAGAGTAGGGACAAACAGGAAGTCAGAAATACAGAAGTATTCCAGAGGGGGTTAAAATAAGTATGATGTTTGAACATGACAATGCATGGATTTTTTTTTTAAAGGAACATTAAAAGATAAAACTTCAGGAAGACAAAAAGGGTAACGAATTCAGCCATAAATGCACTACAGTTTTGTGACAAAAAAGGCTGCGGATTATGCCTTTATAACATCTAGTTAGAGCAATTATATTTGTAGCAGCAGCTACAAAGAGCCTTTAACAACAGTGTGGGTAAGCACAAGACACACTCTAAAAGAAGAATCATTTTACTTCAAAATGTTTTTGCTTCCTGGGAACCAGAGTATGATAGGCAATTCTGAAACTTTGAAAGGGAAAAAATAACAAGAGGAGCTGAAAAGAAAGGAGTAAAATCAATAGCTTAAATTTAGTAGGAGCTAGGCATTTAGAACCTCTTGAACCCCTAAGTGTGCAGTAACAAACTCTGCAGCCAGGTTTGTCAACCAGCATGCTGTCTCACTAAGTAAACCAAATTCATCTCGTCACTGAGCGTGCTGGTGACACGCTTCCCCTTTGTTGTTCTGCACTTTGATCATACTGTAACAACACCTCACAGATAATAGCTATTTATATTATCTCTGTATACCACTTGTCTGCCTGGTACAAAATAAAGTAATAACTAACTGATTTGGAAGCTTCCTACTCATAGGATCACAGTTTATTCACATACTCCAAGGAGGGAGCAATTTAAAGCTATTCACCTGGATTACATCCTTGTAGGATTGCAACCTTGAGCTGTACAGGTGGAAGTCAATCAACACAGCTTTATCGCAGAATATGTCAGTCCACCTAGCCATCAAAGACCTGAGGAAGGCAGTAATGTGGCCTGTCTGTAGACACTATCAACCTCGAGGCATTGCAGGATCAAAATACAAGGTGTAAGCCATTTGTATATACTTGTCTTCTACAACACATTTTACGGGAGAGGAGGAAAGCAGGTGCCAATTTGTTAAGTAGGCGACCTGCAGCCCTTCTCCCCGAGAATCCAGAATATGGACTGGGGAGCCTAACAGTTGTCGTATTATGAACAATAGTTAATACAAACTAATTGTGAATAAAAAGAAACGTTTTCGTTTCAAGTGCCACCTTGCCAGAAAATATAATATTTATTTAAACCATGAAAACAGATACTAATATCAAACTGACCTATGCAAAATGGAACAAGAGGTAACTATTCAATGACTGTACGATGGGACTCCCATACTTTAAAAAACCCAACAAAACAAATCTGCAGGCATAAGACCACCCAAAGCACTCATAAGTCTTATTTAGACACCTAATTAAAACATTTTTTGTGGGAATTACCTGAAGAACTACTGTATAAAACACTGTGGGAATTAATTAATTGCAGAGAAAAAAATATATAAAATATTTAATACCTATCATAAAATTGCTAAATTAGGTTTTGATTCAAAGTCATTACTATCAGTGAAAAGGACTTGTATTACTCTGTAATAAACGGTTGAGCTGGTGATCTTCTTCTATTCCTGTGTATAAATATTTGAGGAACAGATACAGAAACTATTTTTATCTATTAGCAATTGTGCCTCGCAATATGAAGTGGAATATGCCTCTGTGCTCCGCAAGATACTAAATTATCTAACTTGTTGGTCTATTGCTTTTAGGACCTGTGAGGACTTTGGTGTATTCTGAAGCAAAACAAAAAATGAGAAGCAGTAAATTAAGATTAGAAAACAGTTGAAACTAGTTCAAGGAACACTGCTTTACTTGACAGAGTAAATATAATGCTAAGTAACAAAACATTAACAGCAGTCTTTGTTCAATGCATTGCCGTCGTACAAAGATTCAACTAAAACAAAGCATGGCATTAAATTTTAGGGGTTTTCTCTTTTCAAGCTCTAAGTAACACGACAATGTAGAACATTAAACCTTTTTACAAAGTACATCAGTTCTTTCAAACCGCTCAGCTTTACAGGATATCATTTTAGTGAATAAAATTTGAGCCAACATACAGCCAAGTAACTTGTCATTTGTCTTTTCAAATACCAACTTACATATAAAAGAGGTATTCCTTATTATATAGTTATAGTTTTCTATTTATACATTAAGGACAAAAAAAACGTTCCATGCAAGACAGCGGAGAAGAGAGTTTTGAGACAAATGCAATGATTTCATCACTTCCAAAACATCGCAGAATTGTTGCCAAGCAAGAACTCAAAGTCAACAGTTTTTCTGCAAAACCCTCTCTGAATGCAGAGGCATCGCCGTCACGGAGACATGACCAAATTGTATTTTGTGACCTACTGCCTGTTTCAGACCCACACAAACACAAAACTGCATCTCAGCATTTAAAAAAAAAAAAAAAAAAAAAAGACTAACCAAACCTCTCCATGGGGAAAACAAATCTGACACAGCGGTTACTATTAATTAGCATTCCTATTTGTTCAATACTACTTCCAGTTTCCAAAGGAAATGTGACAGGCTGAACTCATAAAATGTTACTTCTCAAAGCTGCTACCACCCTGTTTCCTGGGCAAACAAGACACCCTTCAGCTACATACCATGCACTAGTGTTCTGCAGAACATCAAGGTTAACTACCGCCATCTACGCATCCTGCACCTATGCACAGCCTTTTTTAAAAAACTAACATTTAAAAGACATTTTTAAAGGCATTTTTATTATTCTTCTGTTAAATGAACCTGAGGAAGAAGCAGCAGAAGAAAGGGCACAGCACGACAGATGGTCACAAGAAAGCAGGTGACCCCTGAAGCTTTCTAGCGTGCTGCGAGTCAATTATTAATGGGGATTTCTCTTCTTACCGCCCCATCCCATGCAGAGAGGAGCAGCGGCAGCAAAACCTCATTCAGAATGCAGCCATCCCTGCTAAGTGACTTGGGAAAGAAGTAAATCAGCAGCGGTGAGCAGATGGTGCGAGCGGCTGAGGAAGAGGAGCGGAGCGGAGAGAAGCGAGCCCGCGGAGATGGCGTGTCCCAGGAACAAACCACAGGACTTACTAACCCGAGCTCTCCACTAAGATACACCGTGGGAGTTGCAGATCGCCTCTGCTCTGCATCCCCACTGCTTTGTTTATCGGAAAATATTCAAAATGGAAACCTGACTCCACTTCTAAAAATAGCCGAATTTACTCGATTTCAACTTGGAAGTCCCACTGCTGAAGTGTGACAACGGTGAGCAAATACCTCGTCTTATGTCCAAAAGGCAGCATGTCAAACCGGGGGGGGG